ATAAATAAATAAATAAATAAATAAATAAATAAATAAATAAATAAATAAATAAATAAATAAATAATAAATACGTAGCGTTGAGTGTTGTATGTATTCCCGCTTTAGCAACAGTAACAGTTTGCTGCTCTAGCATTTTATGCATCCAAAAAACACCAAAAAAACAGAAAAAAAAACAGAAAAAAAACAGAAAAAAAAACAAAAACAAAAAAACAAAAACAATAAAAACAAAAAGAATAAATACCTTGCGTTGAGGGTGGTGTGTATTCCCGCTTTAGCAACAGTAACAGTTTGCTGCTCTAGCACTTCATGCATAGCAGCAGTATCTGTCTGCAGCATTTTATCGAATTCATCTATGCATATAATATTATTGTCTGCAGCAACCATCGCCCCCCCCTCTATCCTTTTTTCATTTGTTTCTTTGTCTGCAACAACAGCAGCAGTAAGCCCAACCCCGCTGCTGCCGCGCCCATTCGCACTCACAGCAGCAGCAACAAGCCGCAGCACGAAACGCAGCAGCTGAGATTTGCCGCATGAGGGGTCACCTAGCAGCAGCACATGGATGCTAGCACGTACGCGGTGCCTGCTGCTGCTGCTGCTGCTGCTGCTGCTGCTGCTGCTGCTGCATATGCTGCTGCCCCCGCATAACTGCAGCAGCAAACCACGCTTCACTATATCGTGACCGCATACTGCTGGAGCTATAGAACGAGACATCACCTGCAACATAAATATATTTTTATTTGTTTTATTTTGTTTTTTTTTTGTTTTTTTATTTTGTTGTTTGTTTGTTTATATAAATAAAATAAAATAAAATAAAATAAAATAAATAATTTTATAAACAGCAAAAAAACGCAAAACAAAAAAACAAATTCTAACGTTACTCAATTCAACACAAGCAGCAGCAGCAGCAGCAACAGCAGCAGCAGCAGCAGCAACAGCAACAGCAGCAGCAGCAGCAACAGCAGCAGCAGCAGCAGCAGCAGCAGCAACAGCAGCAGCAGCAGCAGCAGCCGCAGCAGCAGCAGCAGTGGGGTTACGTCAAGAAGGTCCCTTCTGCTGGCGAATGCTTTTATGTTCATCAGATCAGCCGGCAGCGACTGCAGCACAGATGCTCTTGCTGCTACATTCACAACCTGCAGCAGCAGCAGCAGCAGCAGCAGCAGCAGCAGGAGGAGCAGCAGCAGGAGCAGCAGCAGGAGCAGCAGCAGGAGATAGCAACACACAGACGAGGAATGTCATGCATGGGGAGGATCAGCAGCAAAAGAAGCGAAGACAAAGCAGCAGCAACACG